GAAAGCTTGGCACAGGCAAATCGGTGTCACAAGATGGTGGACCAAGTAATTCTTCTCGCACTACAGCAGTCTTCATTCCGCAGCGATATAATTTCTTTTTAATGTTAGAGCATTTCATAAATGCTCCTTCACACTATATCACTAAGCTATTATTTAAAACCGTGTTTTTCTTCATATCTAATGAGATGTGAACGTCAATATTATGGCAGAGATTATTCGAATGGAGCTCTATAATTTTCTTATATTCTTTCTGGGCATTATTAGTAATAGCCGACTAAGCTAATAGTTTAAATTGGCCTATGTCAACAACATTTCACGATCATACCTTGCTTGATATTCATGATATATCAAGCCAAAATAGTCTTTTAAATACTTTTGATACCATGCTAAAAATACCATCATTTAATTATCTTTCATAGGTAAATGACTCTCCAACAATAGGCTTATCCTGTCGCGAAGTGGTAGGCTTGATCAGCAGGTCGGATCAGTTCGTGGACTTGCTGATCGAACGACAGATCTCTTTCTCATTTGATGGATCCACGGCTATGTCTATCGCTCATCGTCATTCAGAAACTCAGCACCATTCTTCTCAAACCAATCAAGCTGATGATATTCCCGGAAGGCAAATCCAGATAAAACAGATTAAGCAGCGTTCTCAGCCACAGATAACAAACCCACATGGTTCGCATCATGCTATGCATTCGTCTTCTCAAAGAACCCGCCGCCTAGAAAACAGAGGACCGAATTTGTGTCCTAGCCAGAGTTTTAATGACTCAGTTGGCCCGGTGTTTGGTAGAACAGGAAGCCAGACTCAAGATGAATCCGGGGCAGGCAGGGCTCTTTCTCCAAATTTTTCTCAGGCTTGCATTTCGAACCGAGCGGGTCAGAGAAATGCTGGAGCAAGTGGCAGATTGGAGTCTGATTACGGGCAACATGATGGTGAAGACTTTCGCCGAGAGGAGGCTTCTCATTCAAATGAACGCATCAGGCTCACTTCACATTTTAGGCGATCCATCAGTCAACATCGTGTTGGGAAATCTTCGGACGCTGCTAAGCAGGAGCTGATTGAGTTGAGCCAAGATGTCCCGCTTTTATCTTCTAGTCATCTTTATTCCTCGCGTCAATATCAGCTAAAACAGCAACAGCCGTTGCAATACCGAGCTACACAACATAAGCAGCAAGAGGAATATCCGAGCATAGTGCCTCAAGCCATTTTGCAAGCAGACAATTCGACAGGGCATCGATATGCACAGCAAAGCCACGCTCGAGATGTACCTGTTTCCTCAATGCCATATTCACAGGACCAACACCAACGTCAACTTCAACACTACTCTCAGATGAAATCAAAGTCAGAAAACCTAACTAGATCTTCATTGCAACCCCAATTAATCTCGAAGTCTGAGTCTGGTGGTAAATGCTCCTCGTCTGGCCGCGTAGTCCAGGTGGTGCAGGGGAAACGTGGAAAAACTGATCGACGGCCATTGTCAGCCAACCTAGTAACAGGGTACAAGGATGTACAGCGTGAAAGAATAGGAAGAGAAAACGAAGATGAAAGAAGGAGGCAGGAAGGCGATGAAGAGAAGGAAGAGAGCAGGGAAGAAGAAGACACTGCCGTAAACATAAGGCTACCAGATGAGGCATGGAGGGCCAGAAATGTGTCTATGGGACACTCCGCTCCGGGCCAATTGCATCATACGAGTCTGGGCAGAAAAAAGTTGGAGAAAAGACAGGATAACAGTTAGAAATTGGGAAAATTTAAAAACAATCCTGCTACTCATTTACTATCTATGCCACCCTGTCTATATTTGCAATAATGGAACTCGCTTTTTTCCATTGTTATTCTCGACAACGTTAGCTTCTTGATTAGAATAGCAGACTAGATTAATGCAATTTGATACTGCAAAGTTACTGAATCGAATAATTGAAGACACAATCAAAACTCAGCCAAACGGAAAGCATTCATAAGATCTGATTTAGATCCAAGCTAAAGAACCAGTATACATTGGGCCTGGCCAATTGGCCGATAAATAAATGGTCCTTCTTGTCGGCTTACAGACTTCAGAGCTATTATCCAGACGTATTTTAACCTTAAGTTAGACCACGTGACACCCAATTTTGTGTTAGTGGTTTGCTATTGCCTTAATATTTTTTGGGGGCTAGGCCTTGGGCCTAGTTTACTAGGGGCCTTTAAATGTGTTTGGTGCTCTTACTTCATTGTGATTGAGTATAAACCAAAGATTTAATGTGGATGATTATCTGCTGGTCAAGTGCTTGCGATTTATATTTGCCTGCATAAATATATGCATGCACATATAGCCATGCTGATCTCATTGGTCTATCGAGTATTGTATATATGCCTTATATGCATTTGATTTCACAAAAAATGCATAATAATACACATATACTTGCTAAAATATAGCATATAATGCAGGTATATTTGTAGGTTTTTAAGCATTTTATGGCAAATCGACTTAGTTAGACAATAGTGTGCGATTTTTTGACCTATGCTCCTATCTGTCCCTTATGCAACTTGCCATAATTAACTCAATTGTATCAGATTTCCTGTTAAATAATTAATTCGGACTCGACGAAATGAAAGTATCTGATTTATAGCCTACTCATCATTATTTGTAGTTCTTTTATATGCTTTGTCATTTCTAGCAAAGATTGAATAAGAGATTAAAGAGTGACTTAGTAGACTCTTTTTTCTATGACCAAAAGAAGCTCTTAACTGGCAAGATCTATTTTTTGACAACTCAAAATATTTTGGCATCCAAATAGGTGAGCTGCAGTCATTTGCCAACATTTCTGGCTAGAATAGTTATTTTAAACAGCCTGCAGCTCCTAATAGTATAGGGCTAAGTGTAGATATTATATCAGCTCCCAATTTACTCAGTTCCCTTCGACTAGAATATTATATATATATATATATATATATATGTATATATATAAATCTTTCGCATACATTCCTATTCTACTTATTCTTGAAGCATAAAGCAGCAAGATCTTACTGTTCCCCTTTTTTTTATTGTAAAAGTTTGGTAGCCCTAAGTGCTAATTCCTATATAAAAAAGAGTGTGTAAAGTTGTATATGGGAAATCGCTCGCATAGAAATGCAATTATTGTCAACAAGTGCGTAGTTGACTCAAAGTTCACACTTAATTACGCTTTCTATGTCTTTGCGCCTTGTGTCAATGTTTTAGTAGCTGGGACTTTTCGGTTTTTTTTCTGGGAAAAAGCAACCCATTTTCTTAAAACATACTAATATCATCAAAGAAAAATTTTGGCTTGTTGATCAACCATTTACTAATCAGACTGTCCCTAATATTTCTTCCCAAATCGTTTCTTCATGAGTACTTTACTCGCATCCAAAAAGATTCTTAATAAATAAATATTTCTTTATTTATTCTATAAACCTTGGAAAAGTTACCACCCTTATTTTTGTAGATTCAGTGGAGATAAAACATGTTGAAAAGACAGTTTGTATCGCCTGCCGAATGTTAATGAAAACCTATCAATGTAATGCTATGCTTACTCATTAAGCTCCTGAAAGACCGATGATTTTCTTTATGTTTGATCCTGCTACACATACATTCTACAATTAAATGTAAACGATGAATCACTCTTCTTTTATCCCAACCTCTTCAGTAAATTAAAGAAGAACACTCTATCTTTTAAATTTCATCCCGAAATATATTCCAATATGTTGATTAGTGCTGCCAAAAACGTATAAATTTCAATATCTATTGAAATTAATGAAAAGCTTAAGTTTCAGATAAAAGTAGAATAATTTACCATTTTAACTCCTCCAAAATCGTCATCTTCTACCCTGAATGCCCTTAAATGCAAATCAAATTGAGGGTAGTATTTAAACTTTTATGTATATTAGCAGAAGATGTTTTTTTATCTTCTGAGTTTGGCTGCAAAACTAAAGGAATTTGGTTTTCTTTCCCCTAATTTCCTATGTTTATTTTTTAATGAAACATCCTTAATTCTCATCATTTAAGAAAAGGAGTGCTTTAAATGTTTCTTTGTACATCTGCATAGGCTTTGGTATGTGCACATATACTCCTATGCGCCTAATTATAATGGAATTTCTTTCAGTCCTTACAATTTATACCATTCTTCTGATAAATTCCTTGGTGACCATATTCTTTCATGATACTTTACTAACTTTATCCTTTTTCGACCAGTTTAATCTTTATTAATTTAAAGTGCACTTTTGGCTCTACAGACATAGCTTGAACTAGCAACCCCCAAAATGTTCAAATAATGACAAGGGCAAACATGGATTGTATTAAATTTATTCAAGCCTGCCCTTCAACTCTGATTAGCTGGTTGGAGTAAATTCTTTAACTCTCTATTTTCCATATTGAATGCGACTTTTACTTCAGCTTAAAATGAAAAAACACTTGAAATGAATTATCACCCTCACGAAAGCCATACCTCCTAATGCACATTTAGAGCTGAAGGCAAACTACAGGATTCACATTTTAAAGAATTCATTTTGTTTTATACATTTCAATTGAACAAGAAATAATACCCTGCCTTGCTGCCTTCCTAGCCACATACAGAGATTTTTTTATACATACTTGTTTATCTGAGAGGCTTATTAATGCAACATCGATGTGACGAATTCTTCTCTATCCTACAGGCCATAAGTGGCTTAATGAAAATTGATACAGAGTATTAATAATTGAAATTGATCGTATATCAGCTTAGGATATTTGTCATGCACAATCTTATGGGCAAGCAAAGAAATACTAAGTAATCTGAATAACAGCTGAACTTGATACATACTGTTTTTTCCGACAGAATTAAAAATTTGATAAATTGAAGTAACCCATATGTTTTGATTCATGAGGTAACCTATGTATTTTGGGGTTTAAGAAGCATGTTTTATCACATTTAAAAAGCAGTGGTAAATTTTATATAGAGTGGGATTAGATAAATATTACTTTGGCTCAACAAACTCACAAGAAATATTAGCTAATATTTATTCCATGCAAAGCGATTTCGCATAGTTTACATTTAATAAAAGCTTAAATTTGAAATCAGATTTAGATTGCCTCGTTGCTCTGAAGACTGTGTTCAAAAATTCATCTAGATGCGTTTACTATCTAGTTTTCAGTTCTGGCACCTATGATTAAACTTTTATGCTCCCTTGAGAAAAATATCATTTCTGTATAAAACGCCAGTTACAACAATGCACTAGTAGTTTAGGTTCCACCACGAATTCTCTAGAAAAATTATACCCATTTTGAACTGATTTTTTGCAATTTCTAGACATTGAAAGATTTTAAAGTGGCTTATTGTATCATACTTTTAAACTATTATCGAACAAATCTCGATTTGTTCCAGGGTCATTTCTTGGTACTATAAATCCTATTTCTTAGCTCCATTATTTTCCATGTCGTTTAGGCAAAACTCTAACTGAATTTAT